ATCAAAGAGGTTACACGTTATTTAAATTAAAAATGTTAAATTTGCTTAAAATAACTAAAATAAAATAATACAGTTCTTTTAATATTCTAAATGGAAATTTTGAAATCATCGTGAGCAAAAGTAGCAGAAATTAAATTATTAGAAACAATGAAAGCAGTAATTATATATGTATACATATACACGTTGTTCAGTATTTAAAAAGGCCATAAAAGTATTTAAGTAAAAGCCAGTTAAGGAAGTAAAGAATTGCTTCATGTAATAATTATTATATGCGCTGTTTAAGTTAAGGATTATGATAGCATAATAGTTTTTCGAAAAAGGACGTTTTTAAATTGAAGGTTTCAGTAAGTCTTAAATTCTGATAACTCAATCTTTCAAATCTGATTCATATTAAATTTTATTATCTGTATTGTAGAGTATGCTTAAAGAAGAACTTAGAAGCATTTTTTGCAATAAAATCTTCACTTACGTTAATTGGTTATGTAAAGAAAAACTGGACTAATTGTAGGTACTTTCGCTTGTCCTACTTTATTATTTCACGTACGTGCATGTACAAAAAAAATGAAGACTAGATAATGTGGTCAACCATTTTTGTGGTTATCTCATCAAATATAATATCACCAATAAATTGTATAATATGAAAAATCCTACCCAGATATTATACAGTTAATTAGTTGAAACAAAAGAAATATTGTTAGTCAACAAAAGTAGGGTTTTTGATCCCAGAATTAATTATCGTTAGCTATAATAAAACAGTAATAATATTCAAGATAAATAAAGAGAAAACGCATTTCAGTCGTCTGACCTGCAAATAAAAACCGGTTAAACCAAGTTTTGCATTAGATATAATGTAAAAAAATATGTTTCCTTAACGAAAGTCAAGTGTAACCCGTGCAATTTTTACAATTATTGTCAAGGCATATTTAGTTTAATTCAGTAATTTAAACAACAAACTGTTACGTATAATATAAAATTATAGCAATTCGAATACTTAGTGAACGAAACTGTGAAGTAATATTGCAAGTTGGCATTGCAATCTCACATAATATTAGAATTCTTCCACTTAAGGTAACTTGTCTTGAGCAGATTCACAGTTAGATTCCTACATCTTTTTAATCATTTAGCACATGAAGGTTACCAGGTTATACCTATGATATATGCATATGGATCTTTTAAATACTTCTTTAGATTTGAACGCCAAAAATTGGTTACCTCAATAAAAAATAATCCTAATATATTTATTTCATATTTCTGAAGGACAATTGAAACTCCTATAAGATCGTCAAAGTAATAATAGTGATTTGCGTAAAATTATGAAGAGACAGGGTTTAATTAATATTTCGAAAACGATAAATTGTAGAAGTACAAAAGCATCATAAAAGTCTACTTAAAATGAATTCAAAACCGTCATAATATGTATACAAGGTGTTCTATTTAAAATAACGAAGTTGGTGTCAACTTCTGGTATAACCGGAAGTGCTACATAGATACCGTTATTTTAATTGAGGAGAGCATACCCAATAACGCTATTGTCCAAATTTTCGAAATTAGAATCGAAATAGTTTCCGAAATATTCTAATGGGTGGTCACCATGAGACACCTTATATGTAAAACTAGGTTTTAGCTGCTACTTCGCTCGCGTTGATGTGCTAAATACTTATTAATAACCATCGATGACCACATGCAACTAACTTTTTCTGGATAAAAGGCACCCTACGTCCTTTTCTTTAATCCTGACAATGTGTACAAAATTTCATGATAATCGGTTATGTAGTTAAGGCGTACAATCACAACAAACAAATAAACAATCTCCCATTCGCATTCATAATATTTACTCTCATTCATCACATACATTTTACCGCCTGTCGGTCATGAAGTAAAATTTTCTTGGGTAATAAACAACAATAGGCTTTCACGGCCGGAATCCATGGTAGGATTATTATTCGGGCTGAAGAAAACCACGACCTTTCAGCCAGAATTATAATTCTGACTAATTTTGAAATTAGATTCATTAACCCTAGAGTGGGCGCGTCTTTTTGCGAAACGCTAGTAGGCGCGTAGGAAGTATTTTGCCGCCCCCTTTTCTTTGACCATTTTAACTAGTAATACAGCAATTTAATCATTTTTTCTTTCAGGATTTAAATAATATACTAATAAGTAATAATAAATCAAATTATTTATTCAACTCCGATCTAAAAACTTTGGTTTATAAGGCTTTAGGAAACTTATTATTTTAATTGACTTTTTTTCTCTTATTCTAAATAATACTCTAATACTTTAAAAATGGGGAAAAAAAACAAAATTATATATTTTCTAAGTCTACAGGATTCGCTTTATCAAGACAGCCTTCACAAAGATATGTACAATGTTCATTGCACAGTAACTTTAGGCATCTGGAACACCCTTTTTTCGTGCGCCTGTTTTTCTTTGAGGGATATATGCTGAATTTGCCCTCCTTTTACGAAGCAGGTGCTTGTTCTACTGGAACAAAGCGAGCAATTTGGTTCCTCGAAGGAATATTTAAAGTGTCTATAGAAAACCTTGTGGTCATATATTGCTTGACAAGTACCATGGCAATTTGTTTCAAATATTCTCGACGTAGCATCAAATGTTCAGTATTGGCTTTGTATATAATTTGACTGTTTATTCCGGCAATATTCAACATTGACAAAAACAATCTCAAAATTTTTTTGCAAAAATACATTACACAATTTTACTTACGTGAGTGGGCGCGCGATGAGCAATTTGCCGCCCGGCGACACCTGATGGTAACAACCCTTTCTTCAAGCGGTCCCCCGCGCACTGATGGCGTCCAGCCTTTCGGTACGCGTTGCTAACGAGAATGGGGGCAGCTACTAAGAGGCGTAAGTGTAACGGGCAGTTTTTTCAAAAATTATTAACGGTTTTTTACCGCGGGCGGCAAAATGCTCATAGCGCGCCCACTCTAGGGTTAAGAGGGTTCCGTTCGGCCCAAATTATAATTCTATCTAATTTAGCAATAAGGTTCATTCAGAGAAAAGTTGTAAAAGTTTTCGATTTAGGCAAAGTAATTGATATTTTTGAATTATTAAATAAAAGCAAAAGCGTTTTGGGTTGAATGCTTGCAGTTTTAAATTTTACGTTATATCTGGTTAAGATAATACTAAATGTGAACCAGTACCTTGGCCCACTCGGGCTCACCCATAACTATGTCCCTAAGATTTATAACTGCTCAAAACATATAGGTGGTATTACATGTTTAGAAAGAAGTAAAAAGATGTTATAATAGAAAAAGTATTAAGAACGGTTTCAGAAACATTACTAATTAGGTAAGCCTAATAAAGGTAAATATGAAGATATGAAAAATAAAAGTACGTTAATCATTTTAAAAGAAATGAATCCTACTATAAGTGTTTAGAGGATTCGTACTCCCCATAGCAGCCAGTGATAGTGTAAACACCACTATTATATCTATATATACGACTGCTTATTATATTGACCTAGAAACACACCAATATTTAAAGGATGATGATACTAGATTGAAGTAATAAAACAAATACCTAACTGCAAAAAGACTTTTCTTAAAGGCTTTTATCTACATAAGTAAAGAATATTAAATACCATGACAAGGTATTTTAAAAATACGTATTTTTCATTTAGTATTAATTTAAACACAAAAAAAAGAAACTGTTTTGTACTTTTTGCATTTAAAGTAGCGAATCAAGAAAGTATTTGAATTTTCTATTTAAATACTTTTAACAAACTATTTTGTGAATCTGGAAAAAATAAAATTACTTGGTTTATGTAGTGACAACACTGAAAAATTTAAATGTACTGTCGACTTACGTTCGTTTAATTAAGTGCAATAATAGCTGAATCATTGTCAAAAAAGTTATACTGGACAGTGGCTACGATACATTATGTTGTTTATAAATAATATGTATTTTCATAATATAAAATATTTAGAACAGAAAACAAAGATATGCATTTTGCATACTCAAGCCTCCTAAATGTAAAAAAGTTATGTTCGACTTAAATAAAATTCTATATTAATAGAAATTTCTGCTTTATCAACAACCTTTTTAATTTTTGTCTCTACGCTTACTACGACTACTTTGTTCGTGTTGTCTTTTCCTACCGTAACCTTACGATCATAACCTAATCACTTATTTCTGTTGTTTTCTATAACATAACAATCCGTAGAGAAATAGTTCATGGGTTAAAGCTTGAGCCAATGCTTGTTGCTGAGGCTGATTTTTCCGAAAAAAAATTAACAGAAATTATAATATAAAATACGCACTTGAATCTCGAGTTAAAAAAAATTCGAGAAATAGAGAAGTTGTAGTTAAAAAGTTTGGAATAAACGTAAAACCTAAAGGAAACAAAAAAAATGTTCGAGTTAGAAACGATTTCAAATTATCGATTTTCGACTGTATTTCAAATGAATTACGTTTGTGGTTGGTTTGGATTATATTACGGATGCTTCTCTAGATTTAAACACCATATATTAAGGTTCTTATATACGCTGATACCTCGTATATTTTTTAAATAGCTCGAAATCATTCAATATGTTTGGAATCCTCTATTGCAAAAGAAGTAATAGTAACTATTACATGCTTAATAATACAATAATTCACATGAACGAAGGCCAAATACAGTATCTGTTCACGGATCTTCATGGTGCTCTAGGCAAATATTATTTAACATCATCAAAGAATGAACGAAGTGTGTCCATAAAATTGGCAAAACTAATTTTGCTTTTCAGTGAATAACGTATTACCTACCAAAAACAGAAGTCAGAGATAAACTATTTAAGGTTTTATTAATCTATTGTGTATACAATAGCCACTTATCTGAAGTGAACACCATATATGTACATACATACATAAAATAGTTGACAATTAGAAAAACGAATGTTATTTTTTATTAGTAATAATAATAATAATAATANGAAAATTGGTTTCTATATCCCAAAAGATGTGAGTGAGGTTCTTTGGCATTAGCCCGTCTTCACTTGCTTAAAGTTACCAGTGCAAACTGAGAAGACCAGGAAAATAATAATAATAATAATACATAATACATAAATGCAACAGCTATGTTCGAGTTAAAGAAAATAGGCATTAATATGACATATTATTTTGAAAATTCATTTCTGAATTTTTACCCACTACAAACTATTTCAAACAAATGAAGGAAAATTTGTTGCTGTTGTAACACCCCCGTCTGGAATCGAACATGGGACCTTTGGCTTTACGCGCATAAAATAAGCATTATTGAGTACCGCGGTGCCGCTGATTTTTCATAAGAAAATTAATAGAAAATTCGAGCTTCAAAAGTTCCTCTGTAATTTAATAAGGACAACTAGAAAACATTTCTTAATAAAATTGTAGCAAATCAAATAGAAACTACAATGGCATCTTTAGTATCTTTAAGAGATTTAACATTTAAGATTGATGTTTACACTTCTTTAGTGCTTCTAGCATCTACTACCTTGACATTTGAGAATAAACAAATTTAACAAGCTAGATGTATAAAGACGGTACCTACGTATTAAAAAAAATATTTCCCATAAAATTACTTGCTGTATACGTCCAACTAATTCACACCAAAAATACTATTGTACATTCCCAAATGATCGTACAAGAGATTAGTGAATTAGTATTGGCAAAAAAGAAAAAAAAAACGATTTGTTAAAACTAGTTCGCACCGTATCTAGTAAAAAGTTTTTGATAAAGGTTTGGTGAATGAACTAATTATTGGATCTATGAAGTTCACCCGGAACCTTAACTCCGGAAGAAACTTTATTATCATTGGAAAACTCAACATTATATTTAAATAGTGCTAGACGATTTACCAAAAAGAAACAATAGTGTAAAAGGTTGGCACAGAGGTTTTGAAGACTTATTGTCAGCATATCATTCTATATAATATTTCCTATTAAAATTGTACACATATATGATTTATAATATAAATATAAGCGTTTTATTAAAATTTTTGTATTTATTACTAATNTATTTCCTTAGTTTTTTTTAATACGGCGATGAATTTTCCAGGTGGTGCAATGTAGGCGGTTAAAAAAATTTCAGTGCTGAAGTTTCTACAGGCCCTAATTATTTATTTATTTATTTATCTGAAATGATTTTACGTTTGACAATGTGGGGTAAACTTTGTCTAATACAAATTCGAGAAAAAGTGAGCAAGAAAATTGTAAAAATGTTACTTTTTTGTCCGACATACACAGTGCCTCAGTATTAGGTACTTCTAATTTCTATAATTTTCTTCTCAAAGCTCAACAATAAATTAGGGGGGGGGACGATAAGATAATGCATATTAGTTTTGTGTTTATTGGTAGTCTAACAATAAAACAGTTGAATTTGTAAACGATAAAATAAAACCCACTTATTAAATTAAAATTTTAGTTTATCTTGATTTGCTACTCGATTATTTTTGCATGCACAGTAAATTTAAACTGTCAATAACTTTTAATAAACAATATGAACACTCAATGTTATATTGTATTTGAATAACGCAAGGTCGCGTGGAGTAAAATTTTCTATATATTTATTAACAAATAATGTGATGTAACAAAACAAATTTAAAAAATTGTGTTAGAAGAATGTGAACACCATAGCAGGCGTTTATCTTTTTAATATAAATAATTAATCGTTTAATGGATAGGATAAACCTTGATAGCTTGGTACTATTTTTTTTTTTTTTGAGAAGAAAAGAATAACGTACGCTATAAATATATCTAGATTGTTTGTTAAACATGACATTAAACGAGAGCGCTATGGAATTATTTCCGAATTGTTGGTAAATGTGAATGAAAATTGCCACTCATCTAAGCCAATTACGAAGTATAATGCCTACAATATAACCTTCCTTTTTTTCAAACATGAAATAACAGTCGTTTGATGTAACAGGAAATTGATGGAATTGACAATTTACTGACGTTTCTGTGTAATAAGTGCACTTCTAAAGCTGTTGTTTGAATTAATAGGTACTTTGTATCAACTATCATTAAAACAACCTACTGTTTAAAATCACGCAACAAACTTCTCATTTTTGAAAATACTGTTTTATCTTGTTTCAGAAAAATGTCAACATAGATTTCCAATTTTCACGAAGAAACAATAAATCCCCAAAAATGATAAGATATCTTAAACTATTCTTCAAAAGAATTTCAAAGGATTTCGCCCAAAAGGAGTTACTGCCTTTGAAACTTCTGTTCTTCATACATGCTTCCAGTAAGTGTTTTAGTTACTTAGTACGCATTTTCGCCGTAATCCGGTGTGGCGATTCCTTCAGATAGACGTTAGCGCCGTTGTACACGACACGAATTCGTGCGGTTTGCCGGAGGAAAAAGCGTCTAATACTGTAGAGTCATAATCGTCAAATGAAATTGGTCTGTGCCAATAACTAGACATATTGTACTTGGCAAAAACATCGGAATGAAATAATACAAAAAAAAATTAGCAAACTAGTGTATAACCCTTGTAAAACCGTTAAAAATCAGACACCCTTTTAAAAATGATAAAAACAATTTAAATTTCATCCGATTTTTAATATTAGACATAAATTCGTATCAAAATTTCTTAAACAAAATTACATAATCTTCAATTTTAACTTCAAAAATGTCTAAAAGAAAATTTTAAATTTTAAAATGAAAGGAAAACCATAGGGGAACCTATTCATCATTAGAGACAGAGACCACATTTAAATCAGGCAATAATAAAAGAGGTTCAATAAGTTGCTACAAATGGATCATAAGGTCATAAGTCCAAAGACTGGTTGCACACGTACTTCCACTTTGTCATATTCCGTGCTAACGTTCCCATTTCTCTAAAATTAGAACATTTCACATTCTTAACCATTTGTGAACAACAATCTAATCTACGTCCACCTCTACTCCTCTTAACTCCTGTTTCTGCTTCCAATAGATCTATATATCGCCTAATTGCTTATTGACTTCCATGGTGGCCTCTATTCTATTATTCTTTCTAATACCTCCTCATTTATAACCTTCTCTCTTCACGGTATCCTCATCTTTCGCCTTTTCACATTTCGAACGTTTCTAACCTTTTCTTTTCCACCGCACTCACCGTCCATGTTTCGCACCCATGCAGCGCCGCGTTCCAGACATACAATCTTAGCAATCTTTTCCGAATTTCTAAATGATTATAGAAATAACTTTTTTATGTTGAAGGCGACTCGACCCCGTCCTATCCTCTCTTTGTATTCGCTCTTTCCTTGCTTTCTCTTTGCTTGTATACCAGTATTTTTGTTCTACTTTTATTTATTTTGATTCAATACTGTTTTGTTAATACAGCTTCAATTTTATTTATGACTCTATCATTCAACATTAATTAATTCAAGGGTTAGTTTTCATGAAGGCCGCACAAGAAACTGCGACGAATGCATGCACGACACATATTTCCCACCACTCAACTACAACTACCTAAGAATATTACGCAAAAAGGGATTACAAAATTCCTTGACGTTCAAGGGACAAATATATACGAAACATACACCGTGTATATATATATATATATATCTACTACCTTGACATTTGAGAATAAACAAATTTAACAAGCTAGATGTATAAAGACGGTACCTACGTATTAAAAAAAATATTTCCCATAAAATTACTTGCTGTATACGTCCAACTAATTCACACCAAAAATACTATTGTACATTCCCAAATGATCGTACAAGAGATTAGTGAATTAGTATTGGCAAAAAAGAAAAAAAAAACGATTTGTTAAAACTAGTTCGCACCGTATCTAGTAAAAAGTTTTTGATAAAGGTTTGGTGAATGAACTAATTATTGGATCTATGAAGTTCACCCGGAACCTTAACTCCGGAAGAAACTTTATTATCATTGGAAAACTCAACATTATATTTAAATAGTGCTAGACGATTTACCAAAAAGAAACAATAGTGTAAAAGGTTGGCACAGAGGTTTTGAAGACTTATTGTCAGCATATCATTCTATATAATATTNCGGAAAATTAGTGTAAACCACAACCTAATTGCAGAATAACAATAAATAATCTAAGATGAACAGAAAAAAATTAATCGCGTATCTATACGTTCGTATAATGCAGGCATGATTTAACACCAATAAAAAAGCGAGTCACGTATGTAAGAGAAACTATAAATTCACTGTCAAGAGAATCAGCACAAGGCAAACATTAAAAATAAATATGGCGCTTGAACACGTTAAATTCGTTATTATTATGCGACATACAATTTTTTTTTTTTAATTTAAATTAGAAACTTTTGCTTTCAGCCATTTACGTTATTTATCCTTATCTCACAATTCACATGAGAGAATTAGGGATAAATGTTGAAGAGACCGCAATTATGTCTGCCATAACTCCAGTAATTGCCATCCTCATGCCTCCTATTGCTGGTATGGTCGCAGACAAAATTGGAAACTTTAAGGTAATTGAGGAGTAAGGAATTAACTTTCTCTTTCATGCAACATTGTCATTAAATAAATAATCATCGTTTAATATTCCAACGATCCCAAAAGTATGCAGAATCTATTATTCGATTGTTTCTCCCATTTAACCACTACTACCATTGTAGCTCTTGATTTAACAACCACAACTTCAAAATTTATCTATTACGTCAATGTGTTTCATAACAAAAACGTTTTTCTTCCTACAAATTATCCAATTCAATTGCTTTTCTAGAAGCACCCATGCACCGTACCTGTAACATACAGAGACACTTTCACTTTTTAACTTCGTAGTATTCGCATATGCAAGCACACGGCATTACTTTAGCTTAAGAGTCCTTTAGTCACACAACTATGGAAAATTACTATTTTAGTCGTGACTCAAAAATCACCAAAATCCTTTTGTCTCCAACAAATAAAACTATTAGTGAATAGCTATGTAATAACTATTTTTGAATGCTTAGGAAGAAAGGCCTTAATTAAAGAAGTTTTTGATCTCATAAATCACTAATGAAACAGAAGTTAATGAACCAAAACAACTTGACTATGATCTAATTCTTAAAACCATGAAAAAGCTAATGTTTTACCATCTACATTGTGACAAGTAGATTCCCTTGTAAGACTCTTAGTTCTTGTAAGAATAAGGACTCTACATCCTTCCCAATTTTCCTAGGGATACGTAGATAGTTTTACAGTCGCTCTTTCTATTTTTAGTTCTTGTTGGCGTTCTTTTCAGCAGCAGGCGGTGCTACAGCTTTGTTGTTCCTCATAGTTCCAGTTGGAAGAGTTACTTTATCGTTCCCAAATCAACTAGTAATAGGAATATCGTGTCAACCAAATGCGTTTCTCGATGTTTTGCTTTCTAATGAATTTGCTTGTACACCACAGCCAGTAAGTGTTCAAGAAGCCAGGTTGAATTTAAAAACTTGTGGTTTCGTTTGCCAATCAGATAATGATGAGAAATTTTCGTGGAGAATAACGGATTACGCGGTCGACGATAATACGTCATCGAATTTTCCAGAAGTGACATACACAGTTAATCGTAAACCTCCAAAGCAAAAGAAAACCCTTCAGAGCGCTTATCAACCTTTACAAATCGATTTGGATTGGAATCATTCGGTCCGGAGTTTTGGAAAGAACTCGTACTTTTTCCCGGCCAAGGAAACAGTAAATTTTTCTTGTGCATTAAATAATAACCCTAAAGATATTTTCACATACAACACAACTTCAAAAAGCCAAATCGAATTTACAGACGATTTCAATGTTTCTTGTATGTTTGGAAACGATGTCCTACCAAACGCTACGATTTATGACAACATCCAAATTGGATATTCTCGAATAACTAGCACCAACAATTCATATTCTGTTGACTACGTCAAAGTGGACGATGTATTACATAATTCTTATTGCAAGCAGGACTACTTTAAAAACATGGTGGTAAACGTACAAGTGCAAAACCCTAATAGTTCGTCTGAAATGATGTCGGATTACGAATTTAAACAATGCTCTCCGGCTTGCATCGGACTTAATCCAAGAAAAATGTTCTGTTCTAATTCAAAAGTTTCGGTGGATTTGGACACGAAAGTGACTTTTTGGAGTTACTTGAGTGTCCGAGTTTTAATTGGAATAATCGGTGGTACAGCGTTTGCCATGTTTGAAGGTGCAGTTATAGCAATCTTGAGAGAACACAAAGCTGATTATGGACTTCAAAGAATCTACGCCACCGTTGGAGGAATGATCAGTTCTCCTTTGGCCGGATGGCTTATAGATTTTGCCAGCCAAGGAAAAGAATATACTGACTTCAGGTAATTAGTCGATATCATAAATACATTAAATCCAATTTGATGCTGTTTATTTCTTGTAGGCCAATATTCTTTCTGTATGCGTCCCTGAAGATAATAAGTGCTGTTTTGATGTTATTCATGAATTTACAATTCAAAACTCCGGCAAACAATGTCCTTGCAGATGTTTATTCGGTCCTTAAGGATGTGGAGCTTATAACGCTGTTTATAGTCAGTTTTGTGTTGGGTAATTAAAGGCATTATTGTTTACGTATGCAAAAATAAAATTCCTTTGTACTCTAGGTACTGCTTGGGGGTTCATAGAAAGCTTTCTCTTTTGGTTGATTCAAGATTTGGGGGGTTCCAAGTCATTAATGGGCATTACGATAACTATAGGCGGCATAGCAGGCATTCCACTTTTGGTACTTTCTGGTCCCATTATAAAAAGGATTGGGCACGCTAATGTCCTTCTGATCGGATTCATATTCTACGCCATCAGGCTTTTGGGCTATTCTCTCATTTACAATCCGTGGTTGTGCCTAATTTTTGAGGCAATGGAAAGTATAACATCATCTTTAAGTTTTACTGCAGCTGTAACTTATGCTGCCAAATTGTCCACTGTTACCACAGATACAAGTGTTCAGGGGATGCTTGGAGGAATATACTATGGAGTTGGTAAGTCATTTTTTTATCGTGCTTTCAAACGGGACTGTAAAAAATTATTTCGTTGTTCAGGAAAAGGCGCTGGAAGCCTTATAGGCGGTTATTCCATTAAAATATTTGGAACAAGGCAAACCTACAGGATATTTTCGGTGGCAACAGCTGTTACGGGCCTGCTGTATTTCTTCTTTAATTTCTTCTACATTAATCGAAGGAAGAAAAAGCAAGAACAGGAGAAGGAGACCGAAAAGAAAAACGATATCAACATGGACAATAAGGACAGCTCAAAAGACAGTATTAAAAATACTCATGAGAACATAATAAAGGATGATGCACTACCATATGAAGATGCCCTCACCAATTACGGATACGAGGGTGAAGAAGAGGAAGAAGAAGAAGACGAAGAAGAACGAAAAGGAGCTAATGTCCCTCAGAAAAAAGACGACGGTGAAATAAAAACTACAGCACTACCTCCTTAAGGTAAACGTATGTTGTAATACAAAAGGCAAGCTATTTTAAAAGCACCTAAACGGGCAAGTAAGAAAACAATAAACAAAATATTTATATCTTTCGAACCACCCTTTCAGTTGAACTTGCTACGTTTTTTAGACTGTGATATGGATAAAATTTTTTATGTAACACCTTCTCTATTAAAGTAATTTAACTACTATAACTTAGGACCTGTTTAATTTTATTATTCAGTGTTACGACTATTATTGTTTGTAAAGTAAGTTGTGACAATAATATGTATTTTTAATTTATTGAATAAATGATTTATATGTTTTGGCAATTTTCCATAAATCCAAGACTAAATGAAGAATTGTTACATCCGGTAGATTTATGAGTTAAACTACTTGAAACAACTTTAATATATTCTTTTCTTGGAACAAAAAATTTTTTGTATTTCGATACTTTTATTGTACCGAAAAGCAATTAAACTGATTTCTATGTTGATTAAAAATGTATGATTGGTAATCATCATGAGCATTTACGTTATTACGTTATAAATATAATCTGTACGAACCAATCAATAAGTAATGACCGATGAAGTTGTTAACATCACGCTGAATTCATTTGTAATAAAGATAAAAGCATCCAAAGCATATGAGAGATGGACCAAAATAAAGTAATTTCAGGGGTAAAATAATTTAGTTTATTACTTTACATTACGGCAATAAATTGAATAAAAGTTTTAAAAATGATCTGAATTTCTATCGGCAACATCACAACTATCAGATTTTAAACTAATTTTTAGAATAGTTTTCCAAAAAATAAGCATTTTCTAAGGACCAATGCGATTAAAATGCAATTTCAAAAGTGTTCTTTAAAACCAGTTTTTATAGTTCCACTACATTGTCCAACATAGGTAACATCGTGATCGTTAAATCATTATTATCATTATCAAGCACTACCCTATTTTATATTTCTAGTACTTTTTCCATCCTGTTATCTGACTTCTAGTATAAAGTGTTTTATTTTTATATAAGTTCTAACCCCTGTTTTGCATCCCTTACACGCTAATGTCATCGTTCTATTTTTACTAAAATTCATACCATACCCTTTTATCAACACTGCTTCCATTTTATGTAAAGCTAACTCTAACTCCTTATTAGACGTCAATAGACTAACTAGTTTAAACAAACGATTTCTAACGTCTATCAAATAAACAAATATGGTGAAGGTGCCTGGACGAAACATTTGCCCTATCATACATATTTCAAATAAGGAACCAACAGCTTTTTAATTGAAACCATAGTTCCCTAATCCGTTTAAAGATTTATTTACATAAGAATTGCCTTCTTTAGATGGGTTTGTATTTGCTTTTCAGCCCCAAAAAAGGTGGCAATCTTATTTATGACTGCAGCAATTCTTCTATTTTAAGAATTCGGATTAATTAGTAAATACAAATAATAAAGACCTCTTTGTAGGTATTGGTTTGTGTAATAAAATTTGATTTTGTATAAAGTCATAGACCCAGAGATTCAAAATAAGTTAGTAGCTCTAGCTTCTTCCTTGAACTCGTTTGTGTCTTCGTTCTGAGTACGAGAAATTGCTGTTCATCATCATAAGACTGGTTGGACACGCACCTCCACTTTTTCCTATCCTAAGCTAATCTTCGCATTTCCCTAAAACTAGAGCAACCCATATCCTTAATTATTTGCGAACACTAATCTAATCTTGGTCTACCTGTACCGCCCTTAACATCCGTTTCAGCCTCTAATATGTTTCTGACTAGACCTTCATGCCTGAGAAAATAGCGTACGGTTTGATAATGATAATGATGATTTAACGATGACGATGTTACCTTTGTTGGATAACGTTTAAAAATATCAAAATTGGTTTTGTCGAAAAACATTTGTCGCCCTGTATTATCAAAACAAACCAGCTTTCCAAAAATCATCATTTGTTAACATCGATGTTAATGAACGAATTTTGTGAACAAATTCAGCATTGAATTTGTATACCACTTTTTTCTCATACGAATCGATAAAATCCGTATTTTTGTATAGGGGTTGTACCTTTTGGGCCATCTATGCGTTGGTTCGAAAACCGACACTAAAAGTTCATCCACCAAAAGAAAGGGAGGGGTCAGACCCATCTATGTGTCCTCCACATTCCAGTTTGCAGAGCAGATGGCGCTAGCATTAACTACTACAGCTTATGCTGGATAATTATTATCCTTTTTATGAAATAGGAAAAACAAAGGCACCAAGGTTTATGTTACCACTAAACTTGATTTAGTGAAAAAAAATCTGTTTTTTCGTATTTTATTTTAATTACACATAATCGTTAAGCTGTTAATACACCTTAGAAATTCACATTTGTTTCTAAACTAATAAATAAAATCATACTAATGAGAATAATAAAAATGATAATATTCGAAATTCCAATATGCTTTAACAGCTTCATTATTAATAAATAAATTTCCAAATTCGTTATCACCATTAGGGTAATTCGGGAAATTTGCCCAAATCTAATATCTAATAACGTAGAAAAACAAGTGCAAAATGTTAACCAATTGTCACTAGTAATGCTTATAGTTAATTTGAGCAGAGGTTTTATTTAAATTTTTGCACTTTAGGTCCACCATTATGAGTACTTTTTTGATGATATTGCGTCTATTATCCTTTGAAACGTTTGTGGGGAAATCCCTAGCCAACTTGTAGTATCTGATCTGCCACTGTTTGATCTTGCGAAGAAATCGTAATAGTAATCATAATCAGTACTGGAGACGTTAAATTTTGCGTAATATACTGCAGCGAATGCCGAATATATGAGCAGTAAAGCAGTTCCCAACTAAAAGTAAACAATTTATTTAAGGATAATATTTTCTTCTAAAATGTGTATTTGCTTAAATACCTGGAACACTGCCCAGAATTTAAATGATCCTTCGTTAATTATGAAGTCGTAATAATTTGCCCAGGGATCAACAGCTGTAGCTTTCGATTGATCCTTCATGGGTGGGTGATGATCGGCACTGTAATCCTCATCATCTGCGTCCATCATACCTCTTGCTTGTCTTTCACTTTGTTTCATTTCGTCGTAATCTTCTAATCCTTGCTCGTACCTGCAATTTTACAAAAAAAAATCTAACTTCCCATCCCCTGACCCAAAAATTAAACCATCCATTCGCAAGTATTTGTTAACAGAAATGAATAAATGTTGCAAAAATAATTGATATTAATTAATTAAAAAAGCAACTGCATACCTTGTTAATGGAAACTCTGTAGTATGCGCCTCAGTTGTAGCAATGTTAGAATTATCGGTTGGCATTGAATAAATTAAGGGTAACAGCACTATGAAAAGTCCGAAAACTGAATGGGATGCAATTTTAGACATGATAATTTTTTTTTATTTAAATTAAAGTGCAAAAAAAGAATCCCAAGGACCTACAACGAAAAAAAGACAATATATATATTATAATAGATCAACTTATAATACATAAATAATAATAGTCATTCGTATAGGTGACATATTTCATAATAATTAAAATAAAAAAATATTGTTGTCCTCTGGCTAAGTTATTAATTTCAGAGGAACTGTATGAAGAATCGGTAATAATATTAAATTATAATAGCGATAGTACTTTGCAAAATCTTCTGAGTACTTACCGTTTTTTGAGCAAAAATGTGCTGCACTAAATCACAAATCAGTAGCCCACCTGTAACTAGAAATTGTCCGGTTTTCGAACCACGAAGAATTAGCGGACAAGTTTAACACAACATTACCAAACAACGGCTACGGCGTACGTTATAATTTTAAAGTTAAACAGAAGCTTAATGCTGTTATCTAAACATATCTGAATAAGATACTAGGTTATCCAACACCTTCAACTGGGTCACATTCGGAGTGACCCTCTCTTAGGACAGTTTTGTTTTCTATAAAATAGCATATTTACTATAATATTACTGTATAAAAAATATTCATCTTATTAGCGTATATAAGGGAATAAGAAATTATAANACGTATTATCAATTATGTAATACACATTTTTTGGATCTAGGGTGCATAAAAAATAGAGTTAAAGATTAAATTACAGATAAAAAAATACACATTGATTTAATACGTAAATAGGTTTTTTTTTCAAGTTCTGTTTATTCCTTCTCAGGGTGAATTGAAGTTAGTTTAATATATTTTACTTAAATACTTCAATAGTTTACAAAAGTAAAACACATAAAGTTAGGTTTTCAGTTAATTTATTTTCTTAAATTACATGTATTTTTTGCCTACGTTTTCTATTGTAGAAGAAATATTACTATAAATATTATTTAAATCATGAAGTTGTCTAGCACTTCTAGCTGTGGTAAAATCAAAATTGTTAACAAGTTCTACCTTATGCCTGGCGATAGATTTTATTATAAGGATAGTTACGTAAATAATAAAGTAAATAGAGAAATACAATGGTATATACCACAATTTACGTCCTAAAAAGTAATAACTGTAATTTGCCCTATGATCTGGGGGTGCGGATGTGGTTGTAGTTGTAGTAACTTCATGGTATACATGGTGGTCATAATCATAAGGACCATAGTTAAACTTATGTCCATGCTCGTACTCGTCTTCAGAAAAGTATGGATGCTTTCCATCATTTCCATCGTCCATTGGGGGAGGAGATAAGTCTCCTTCTGCCATTGGTGGAGCTTTTGGTGGATAACCCATAAGCATAGGAGGCGCTGGATGAGAAGGATACTTCATATCTGAAGGAGCTGCTGATGGAGGATGTTTCGGACCTGGTGCTGAAGGATGCTTCGGACCTGGTGGTGGAGAATCATCAGAATCGTCCATAGGATTATCGGGATAGTACATATCATCATGTGATGGAGGTTTTTTCATTTTTGGCTTTGATGGTTTGGAATGATGGTGTGAGTAATAATCATTGTCTTGATTATCTTGGCTATCACCACTGTCATCGTCATCATCGCCTGGAGGTTGAAACAGGAACGGATTTCCCTTGCCGTGATCTTTTGGACTGTGGTAGCTTTCATCGTCATCGTCATCTTCGTCAGATAGTGCTAAAGGTGGATGAAATGGTCTCGGAGCAGACGGATATTTTGGTTTTTTATTGTTGTCATCATTATCATATTCTACTTCATTGCCATCGTCGATTTCAAAAGGTGGTTTATATGTTTCAGCAGGTTTTGCAGGTTTCTTTTTCATGGAATCCTTAGGTTTTGTTGTAGACGGCGGGTTAAAATAGTCATCGTCAACTGGTTCACCGTAAGAGGTAGCCGAAGGAGGATGACCATTAGAATCAAACACCTGAGGTACAGGGAACGGTTCCGGAAATTTGTACACGTTAGGTTTCGTAGGCTTCTCTGGAACATTGGCTTCAGGTTTTGGAGGTTTCGGTGTAGCTGGTACTGGTGGCGGCCCATAAACGGGGGCAGGAGGTTTTGGTTTAGAACCCTTAGGTGGTTTAGGAGTGTTGTAGGAATCAACAGTTGGGTCAGGATAATCACTACCATTATCTGAAGAAGAATCTGCCGGAGGACTATAAAGTTCTGTCAAAGGTACTTTAGGTTCAACAACTGGTGGTGGGTTATCATTCGGAGGATATTGAACGAAATCATGTGCTGACGGTGATGGATTTTTGGGTGGATTGTAGGATGTAAAAGGTGAATTGTACAAATTTGAAACAGGTTTAGGATTATCGTTTTGATAATGGTTATAGCTTGAGTAGTCAACAGCGCTTCCTTCACCTGGTGGTTTGAAATCATCAGATACGTCAGCTTTAGCGTTGGCGTGATTTTGAGGTTTGTAAAAATAACTGAAGTAAGGTTTATGGTTTTGTGGACTTTGCATAACCTCCCCAGCATCAGGTAAATTATCCGATTTTTCTTCGATACGAGGTATTTCCTTGCTGTAGTAATATGTGACTCCCATGTTGTTAGTCACATAATCTAGTTTCCGTTGACGATCGTCAGGCCTAAAATTATTATAAGGCGTAATTCCCGCAAAGTTTTTTTGGGGAATGAAATTTTGAATTACCTGTGATTCCAGGGAACTCCGTTGGCATCTTTTCTATTTTGTTCGTTGCTTTCTTGGGATGATGTACCCGACGTACCCCAACGGGTGACTTTAGGGTAACTGGATAAATTAACTTCATCACTTCTTATAACAGACGTAAACGATTTGGGTATCGTAGATAATCCGAACAAAAAAAATATCCAACGATACATTTTACTCACTGAATTCTACAAAACTGAGAGATTTCTTTGCGTGCACGTAACGTCTGTTTAATTTAAAAACGAAGTGAATGATTGAGCATCTAAAATACTATAGGTAAATAGTCTCGACTTCTTGGTAACCTATATCCCATTTTCTTTTGCAAACATAACGCGATAACGTGATAATTTGTTAAACATCTTATTACAGTTATTGAGCCGGTTACGTTAGTGCACTTTGTATACGGCGAACACGGTACTGTCCTTCCAAAACTGCCCCAATTTTAAATAGTGAAATTGGGTGCATGTCTTGTTACTTCCTGCTGATTTTTAACCGCTTGCTTTTTGATTACTTAGCAAAACTACATTCGCAATTAGAAGTACGAAAGTGATATATGCATTAGAAAACATGATAACCAGTTAATGAAAGAAAACATTTTGATACAAAAGCAAGCATCATGTATTATCAAACAGGATTTTAAGGGCAAATGAAATTTGATATTTCCATATCAATGGTAGCCTAGACAAAAATTTTCAGTCTCTCTCCAGTCTTTCAGCGTCTCTCAGTTATTGCCTAGGTGTTTTTATAGATCTGTCACAGTCTCTGTATGAGAGACTCGAATGATAAAATTGTTAATTCAGAGATTCGAGTCTCTCACAGAGAAACTGAATAAATAAAAAAGAAACATTAAGAGACTCGAGTTTCTCGTAGAAAGACTGGGATCTCTAAAATATGTTTTAACCATGTCTATCGAGACATCACTTATTGAGAGATTCGAGCCTCTCGTTCAGAGACTGGATACGAAATGAGGATCTCTTTATGAGCAACTCGAGTCTCTCGTTCAGAGATGCTTAACAGCTTTTTGACAGTCTCTCGACAGTCTCTTGTAGCGATACCTGAGAGACGGAGACTCGAGTCTCGCCTTCAGAGACTCTGAGAGACTGAACATTTTAATACTAAAGTACCTATATTATTACTTATGGTTGATTAGAGTTTCATTCAACATACTATTTGCCATTTCAGATGCATGATAGCAAATAGTTTTGACTAATTGGTTCTGACAATTAATGAGGTCTTTTAGATTTTTGTATTACGAACGCTTTCCGGCACGTTTCTGGTTAATCCCATAGTCAGTTGTAAAAACTCAACTTACAATTAAACGTCTTGGCGACTTTGCCATTAACCAGTTCTGGAATAAAGAACAAGTTAGTCCTTCCGCGAAGATATCATACTTGGGACTTGTGTGTAAATTATAATTGAAAAAAAGAAAATAAATTAAGTTTATAATTTCTTCGTTGAACAACCGCAAGTTTCTGCTGGTAACGTTTCAATTCTGCAATCACCTCTAGCTCATTTATCCTGCCAGTGCAGGAGTTAGTTAGGTGTTGTTGATATACACAAACCCTTGTTCTAAAGTAATTATCATAGCGTAATGTAATTGGGTTTGCGTTTGGCATATTCTGATAGAAATTTACATTGGCATTGATTGTTGATAATTCGTGCATTCGCTCATGCCTTGCGTGCTGATAATTGATAAAATTGGCATGAATACTTACAACACTCATTAACATTCATTAATACGCGTAGGTAACTATGAGTTTTCTTTATGTGCCTAATACGTGTGGGTTCGTGGTTTATTTTATTACCTACCTCTTGAGGAAATAATTGGCTAAATCTGATAGCCTTTTATTGCATTTTTACAAATCCACTTAATTTAGAAATTATGATTCTTTGTTTAATTAGAAAAGAAAGGCACTTGATTTAATGAATAAATCAATTAGCATGGAAGTAAAAAATACATAAAAATTTTAATCAGGAACAATAGAGTGCAATAGGAACAGCCCTCCTAACGTTTTCTTTTCTCCAAAAAAAAGTGATTACAGTAACTGTGATCATTATTGTCAACACGTAAACTGGTTGCAGCTTTTGTTGCGTATGTTTTTTTGTGGAAAGCGAATGCGTAATTTGTCTTTTTGTACAGATTATTCGGAGGGGTCTCTTCTAAATGGGACATCTGCAGGTAACTAGAAGCTATTGTGTTACACTGTTTTCTAACAGGTGCGTACAATCTTACAAAAAAACACAGAAAAATGCACGTGTTCCCCAGTCCTTGGATCCGTTTTAATATTCACGAGGAAAATTATGCAATTCATGGGGCAGAACAGGTGTTGTTGGAAGGATTTCTACCTGTGATTCATAACTGAACGAGCAGTAATGTGGTTCGCATATTATCATATCAGGGTAAGTGCCCCTTTGCTCCATCTGTTGTACCGACATATGACAGTTAGATAATCCCTAACCCTACGAAATTATACCGCCGTAATCTGCTTTTTCGTTTTTACAACTACTTAGTGTACGCATATTATATTTATGTATCGGTAATGGATATAATGCTGGTTGATTTTCACCGGCAGGAAGATTATTATTTGAGAGAATGTACCTGTAGGAGAGGTAACTTTATTTAGATGTAGACATATACATGCATATATAAAAAAAGAAGGGACGAGATTACAGAAAAATCATCCCCACAAATTACGGTGCGTTGCTTCAGTAGTTAAACATTAAAGGAATTAATTAATTATTGGTAGGTACTTGGTAACTTTTTTCTAAGCCTAAGCAAAAAAGTTGAATTGTAAACATTACTCGTACATAACGAATTCGAATGGATTTATGCGGATACAGGGTGTTTCGAAATATATTTCTATTTGTCCACCCTGTACGGAAACCTACCAATCAATACGAAATTAATTCATCTTTTCGCGAATGACAGTATGGGATTGATATTGTGTTTTGTGAGACACTGGGCACGATATTCCTTAGGGTCAGCGAATTCTGTTACATACATTAACTTGATTACTATAATGAGGGGTTGAAACGTTATTGGGGCAAATAATAATCCCAACAGAAAATAAAGTTTAGCGAAGGATGAATTAAGTAAGCAATCTTGACGAGTATGCTTTTGTGAAGTTTATTTGTCTACATTAAAAATGTGAATGTGTCGGCGAACTTTAGTGTTATGTGTTCCTGCCATAAAAGGGGAAATACCTAGTTTTTATTAAGATTAATGGTCTTCATCACGCTGCAGAAATGGATGATGTTCTTTCGTCAATTCGAAAAAGACATCGACGACAGGAATTGTTCTGCTCCGGCGTAACCCTAATAAAACTGGCGTAGAAACTTACTTTTCTCTCCACTGACTTTGCTTCCCAATGATGACCTAATGAAATTCTATGAGGCATGGCGATGAAATATAACATAACCGGGAATAGGGCCGTTTGCATGGTTATGGAACTCAAACAGTAACGTTCTCGATTTAGTACTGGTATTTGCAAGGAGGAAAAAGCCATTCGTTCATCGCGAATCAAAGATGTTCACTAGCTACCGGCTATCAAATAATCGTAGAAATCTTTGAGACGTCACCCAAGGAATTTATCGACCATTTTTTACTGCCTTTGCCCCTTCTTTACAATATGTTAACCTCTCACTTAAATATCCCCACACTTAAGCCGTACACATAATTCAATAAAATTTAAATCGAGACTATCACGGACAGCATTAGACCGATTGATTATTCTTTTAGTACTTATTTCTCGAAATAATTGTTCATCAAACTGTTCAATTTGTGAATGCTGACTGTTCCTTCTGAATTATTTAAATGACTTTAATACAATCATTAATTTAAACATACTCCAGAATCTATTAAAAATATTTCCTAACTTGTTTTAGTTATTATTAGCAACTCAATTAAACGTGTGAGTTGTAAGTACTAAGTAACAAAATATTGTTTGTTGTAAAAAACATGATGGCTGTGTAAATGAAATGTAGGGGAGACCGGGGATAGTTGACTATAGGAGTAGGCAGACTAACTACCGAAAACTCTTCGACAGTGTATGAACTATGTCATCTGACCATAACCAAGCATTACATTTCGCGTCCCGCTCAGTTGTCTGAAGCGTCACATCGCGGCGTGCGTTGTTTTCGAACACTGACATGTTTTTCATATTTCAATTACATAAGTAATATTTTGATATATTGTATTTTTTGATCTGATGCCTACTCGTTTTATGTAAATCATTTTTCTATTAGTCCTAGCATTGAATGAGGGCACATTTATCATATTTCATATCTTATTTTTCAAGTCAACGGCAGTGTTTAGGCTAGCCATGCGATCAAAATTAAAAATGGCGTCTGGGGTTGATAGACCAATTTTTTTCGGGGCTGGTTGAATAATTATTCGTAGTTGAAAACAACACATAAATTAACTTTTTATTGGACTTTTAAATCGTTACGTGGCCAAATTAAAAGAAAAATTAGAACAGAATCCGAAATTGACGAGAGCAAAATTATCCCTGGACACAGTGGAATATATAAAAATTGACAGATTTTTACTAATCTAGAAGAGGAAACTTTAGCCAGTTTATTTTTTAACAAAAGGTTCAATTATATTAAAAAAATGTTTAATTATTTGCTCCTTCTCATGATTTGACTCTTACTGGTACATGAGTCAACTTACCCCGGGCATATGGTCTACCTACCCCGGGCCAGGGGTAGATTGACTAAGATTTAATATTTTGTAAAATGCATTAAATCATCACTATTATACTAAACTAAGAACTAAATAATACATATTTTTATAAGGTTAATAGATTTTCTATCAATTAACATGCTTTGCTTGTCTATATTCATTAAAACACAAAAAATATGAACTATTCAGTAAAAAACTAGTCAACCATCCCCGGTCTCCCCTACCGTTTTCATTCCAGGGAAAGTCTCGTTGTAATATTATCTTTATGTTAAGGTCGTGGCACGTCTCCATTATCGTTTTGTCAAGACAAAATTAATTACAGTGTTTGTCGCACAATATTTTTCCGAAAAGCCATTAGTTTCGACACAAGAGAAAGGCAGGAGTAAGCCCTTGGGCCAAGTATTCATTAATCTTCAACTGTACACTTACTGTG